TATATACGACAAATACGAAACCCACGAAAGGCGACATCTCATCAGAACAGCCAAAGCCCTTTCGCTGCGCCTGTCTTTCGGCCGTATCTCGAAAAGTGTGGCAATAATTTGATTTCATTAAACATGTCTGAAAACACAATGCCTTCATTTCACTCCTGCATCTCATCCATAATGGTATTCACAATGAATTCAATTAATTGTGTTTTAATTACAATGTTTTGTTTGAAATGACAGGAATTTTGTCCAAATCTGGAACTGTTGGACATATCGAATGTCGAATCGTTCTCAAAGAGTTCATCGATTTCTATAGAGAAATTGCAGACATCGTGTCCTCGTTTACGTATCCTAAGGGCGGCTAACATTACATTCACAGTCTCGACGTCCGGCTCACAAACCGATGGCTTTGTCTCATTAGAGGAGTTGAGTATACCATTCAAGTCGGACTTCTCGACCGCAATCATACAGAACGCACACACAGACAATGTTTTGGAACAGTTGACCAAAAACGCTGAACACCTCAGACTATTGGACATTCGCGGCGCTCGCTATTTGTCTCATAGAGCTCTGGTCAAGATTCCCGCCTGGAATATACAGCACCTCTCTGTCAGCAATTGTCCCAAACTCAACACCGATGAACTCGAAATGGCTTTTACTAAGGTTTGCCACTTTGACAGCCATTGACGCGATTGTAACACTTGTTTCTTGTTGTATGAATAGTGGAGTAAATCGCTGATAGACGTCGACATATCGTGGAATACCAGTGAAGAGAGCGTAACGTCTTGTATGAAGTCGTTGTGCGAAGTGGGAGAAGAAGAATCACAATTACGTACACTTCAGTTGAGGGGTTCCGCCATTTCGTACGATTCGGTCAAATGTTTGTTGAAATGTTGTCCCAAATTAGAGTCAATCGATTTGCAGTCGTGTAGAGGTTTGCCGAGAGGTATAAAGAGGTCCTATTCTGGCGATGACTTCAACACATTGAAGAGAGAGGTATTGGAAGGCAAATACGATTGAATGCAAAGTACAGTTCAAATTAATAATACATTTTAAACAGAATATATTAATTGTATATTTTTTGATAAATCATTGCTTTTAGACATAACAAAGCAAAAACATCCACTCATTTATGGTGAAAACATTAATTGTAATACAAATCTATAACTGAATCAAAATTTAAATTGAATTATAAGCTATAAATTTGTTATTTTTAAATAATAATTGGATTATTTACCGGTATATGTTTTTGTTGTCTAAAACAATGTATTTTGAATCTATAGTTCAAACATTTTAGTGCTTTAATTAGTATTAAATTAAAACTTATAGTACAGTAATAATTATGAAACGGTGTGTTTGCCGTACAATATATGTCGCAAAAATCAATTACAAAACTAAAACATGAATGAGTGGAATATCTCTTGAAATGGTTTACTTAATTACTGTAATTCATTAGTGTATTAGAAATAACCATAATTTAAATATATTACTTGTTTTTGTTTTTAATTTAGATTTTATTGTCATTTTTGAGTTGAAATGATTTTTTATATACCGTAACAAAACTTAATCGATAGCAAAATTTTATGTTTCAATATTCATTATATATTCACTGTTTGTTTATATTTAGTTTGAATTCGTATAAAGTGTACAACAAATGAAAATTATAAGACAATACTCTGTTATATATCAAAGTTTTGATGAAATTATTGAATATATGGCACAATATATTCATATTCGCAACGATTAATATTGCAAACAATTGATTGCATACTAACTATTGAATGAAAATTAATTTCTTTTTGTAATTAAATAACTGTTTAAATATTTACTATAAATGTATAAAAAATAAGTTAGAGTTAAATATATTATTGTATAAAAAGGAGATATAATTATATTTATTGTCGTAAATATGATTTATGGATAAAAGCGAGAATACATTTTAACATTACAACAAATTTAATTTCTATTTCAACACAAATTACAAGAGAATGTGCTTTAGTTATGACAGTAGTTATGCTTTTAATTGTATGCCTTTTCGACTTCTCTGAGACTCGGTTTTTATGCCATAATTGCGTAAATGTTTGGGTTTTTGTAAAGTTTTTTACAAGAATTGTTATTTGAACTCAAAATTGTATTGTTATGTGAAAATGTCTTTTTTACACCATTTATGAAATGATTGAATGAAAGGAGTCTTAGAGAGTCTTAACTATATTCTACTCTTTTCCTTAACGTTTACACATTTGTATTATATTTCACTCAAAATTCTTTGAATTTTATTGTATATATTAATAATTTTATTAATAAAATGCAATTATTTTATAAATACCTTTGTTTTGATTACCAATCAAATTAAGATCACATTTGAATACTAGAACTCTTTCACTTATTATTGAAAAGTGTTATAAAAATCCAATAAAACTAAAAAATAAGTATAATATAAAAATTGAAGTTATGTGAAAAATCATCATTATTTTATATGAGATTTCATGAAATTTATTTTTTATCAAAATATGTCAACAGATAATTGTATTATTTTAGAAATGTTGATAATTTTAGATAAAACAGAATTGTTGTGTAAACCATATTTCAAAAATTGTATCCAAATTGTATTGAAGG